CACCACCACCACCACCCGGCTTGTTTTGTTTTTTCAAAACAGGGTTTCTTTGTGTAACAGCTCTGGCTGTCCTGGAACTCATTCTGTAGACCAGGCTGGCCTCAAACTCAGAGATCCACCTGCTTCTGCCTCCCGAGTGCTGGGATTAAAGGCGTGCGCCACCACTGCCGAGCTTAACACCCCTTGTTCCAGTCTTATGGCCTCCTGTTTTTGATAGACTACTTAGCTGTAGCTTAGAGTCTGGAGTGATGGTTGAGTGGTTAAGGGCACACTGACTGCTCTTCCAGAGGACCTAGATTCAATTCCTAGTGCCCGGGTGGCAGCTCACAGCCACCTGTAACTCCAGTTCCAGGGGATCTCTTCTCCTCTTTGGGCCTCCACAGGTATCAGGCATGTTTATGGTGAACAGACATACATAGAGGCAGATCACCCACACACATAAAATGACAACAACAACAAAATAATTTGTTTTAAAAATTAACCTTAATTCTAGTAAGTTTATGTCCTGTTGGGCAGCTTTGTTGACTGTCGCATCTTTGTGTAGGGCCACTCCTACCCCCACCCCCCGCCAGGCTCTAGAGTTTTGTTTTGCAGGTTTATTTAGAGGGTGAGGAGCCTGTGTTTTGTTTTGACCTCACATCTTTCTTGCCCACCTATGTGCTTCCCTCTGTCTGTCTGACAGGGTTACAGCCACACATAGTAGGCCACTCTAGGTTGGAGTCTGGAACCTGAATCGGCCTTTTCTTGGGGCAATATTGAGATTGATATTATGTGTTATAATGTCCTTGTTAGCAGTAAATAAATAAGGGAAGACATATTTCCATGGAAGGCTGTGTGTCCCTCATATCCTTATTGAACCATACAGGGAACTTGGTGGCTTTGTGTTATTATTTGGGTTCTGACTCCCAAGTGATGTATGATACAAGCAATTAAGGAGCGGCCATTCACATTCACATTCATAAGACTTCATTGTTCCTTTCTTTAAAATCTGACCTCCCACAGAGTCAAAGCTTTTAGAACTTTACAAGAAGCTCTCAAATGCAACTACGAACATTGGCAAATATGGGAAAACTATATTCTCACCAGCACCGACGTCGGGGAGTTTGCAGAAACCATTAAAGCTTACCACCGGCTCCTGGACCTACGAGACAAATACAAAGATACTCAGGTAGGAGATTCACATTTTTGTCAGTTCAATCTGTGCTTTGTACTGATTTCTCTACTCTGTGATAAAAGTTGTTTTCTTTAACGTTAAACACATATAGTATACGTAAACTGCACTTCTGTTCTTTAGTCAGCCATTTCCAGTTACTTACAGATCCTGCCATTTTGATGTTAAGTGTATTGGTGCAGTTACACATAGTATTCCTGCAGCTCAGTTACGCAAATCTGAGTTCATATGTACTGTCAGTATGCGGAGCTGAAATACAAGTCCTTTGCATTACTTACTACTTTGGGTAACTCCGGGCCTTCTGTGGTTTGTAGTAGTGGGAGTCAGTTCACGCAGCACTCACTACATGCTTCCCAAGGTTGAACGATATAGGGATAATGGTAGCATTTTGTTTACAGCACTGAAGAGAGTCTCTTTGGTTGGATGAAGTTAGTCTTGAAGAAAGTATTGCAGATTTGCAGCCACCCGGTTTGCTGTCTAGTAGCATGAGATAAACAAGACCTTTGGGTTGAATGACAATAGAAGGCGGTGTACAAAGAGAAAATACTCAGGAGTTTATGGGTTAGGGCGTCAGAGAGCTAGAAAACAGCACTTTATTCTTTAGCTCTTCTAACAGTCAACATGTGCTATTTCAAATGATGGCTTTGAATTTATAAAAACAATATCAAACAGACGAACACAGAAGTAACATCTGATATATGATAATACCTTGCAAATCTCGTGGCATAAATACTCAAGTTCTAAACACAACTTATCACAGTCCTGTTTTAACACCCCTGGGTTTGGCTCATGTACATGTCTTGAAAGTATAATTATGTAATTGCCAAGTTAGCTTGAAGGCTTTTGGTTCCATGTAGTTCACTGGGAAAATCTATAACTTCAGGTAGAATTTTCCACACAGAGGAGAGGTCCTAACTTTCAGTCAGTCCTCCTCCTCCTCTCTCTTTCATTTACATCTTCTCATTGTAAATACTGTCATTGTAAGAAGGGGTTGTAGTTAGAGTGTAGAGGTTACTTGAAATGCAAGCTAGGCTGAGAGTGTGGCTCGGTGACAGAGCACTGGCTTATGGCTTTCTCCTCCTGCACACTTTGCCCCTGGCACAGGGCACAGATGATGCTCGGGACAGATCTCATATATTACAGCCCACTCTTATGCAGGTATATTTCGTATGTTTCATCTGTGGTTTTAAGGTCTTTCTTGACTAAGGAAGATTTTAGAAACTTGTGTTTAAAGCCTCAGTGAAAGTATAAGTCATTCAAGTCCACAGTATTTTCCATCTTACACTGGAGATTAATTTTCTTGCATATGTATAGAAAGACACCAGCCTTGATCCTTTTCAAGTCACTGCTCTCTGAGCTCCACTGGGCTTGACTGTCACTGTTAGAGTTGGGTAGGAGATGTCGCCCACAGGCTTGTGTTTTGAACACTGTGTCTACAGCGTGCAACACTGTGTTGAAGAAGTGGGCACAGGTTGGTGGGAATGGGTTATGAAGGGTGGGTCTTGAAAGGTTACATCAGCCTCTGGTTCAGCCTGCTCTCTCTGCCTCCTGGTCAGTGCTGTGTAAGGTGTCTCAGCCACACGTTCTTTCTTCCATGAATGCCATGCCGCCCCACTGTCCTTGGATGAACTTCAATCCTTTGAAACTGTGAACCATAGACCTTACTTCCTTAACTTGTTTCTCTCGGGCGCTTGGTCATAGTGACTGCAGAAGTAACTAATAACAGTCAGGGCACAAAGGGACCTTTCTGGGTTTGTGTCTGTGAAGACAGTTTATTCTTGAGGCAGGGTCTTTCCCTGAACCCGGAACTTACTGATTTGGCTAACGGACTGGCTAACAAGCCCTTGGGATCCTCCTGTCTCTGCTCCTGCAGCCCTGCATCTACAGGTGTGTACTGTTGTGTCTGGCTTTTTACATGGGTGCTGAAGATTGAAATCAGGTCTTCATGCTAGCAAAGCAATTACTTACTTGATGAGCTACCTCCCCAGCCCCTAAGAGAACTGAGAAAAACTTCACAGGATAGTAAGTGGGGGTGAGGGTGGGGAGTGGGCACACTAGAAGATCTTGGTGTGGAGTCCTCTGGGGCTAGGCTGGATAGACTTATGTACCAATGCATAAGGAAGTGAGGCAGTCCCCTACTTCCTGTTAAGACTTACATGGACAGTCTCCAGTGGCGTTCTGCTCGTCAGTCAGTCACACTGGCTGCTTGGCCAAGCCATCTCCTCTTTAATGGCCCTAGGTGGCTGTGCTAGGTCAGTCTGACACCATTGTCTGCTGTCGTTTGCCTCTGGTTTGCCTCTCATCCACTTCCTTTCTGGGGTGAGTGGAATTGTTCTTCTAGGTCAGTCCCTTAACCCTCAGTAATCTGCAAATCCACCAAGGGCTAGTACCGTAGGCTCACTGGCTTTGAGGATCCAGGAAACGTCCTGATCATCCTTTCATGCTTAACACCAAGGAGCTAGCTGTATAAAGAGAATCGAAGGGGCCCAATCTAGAGCCTTCTCCTGGAAGAGAGTAGGAGCGGGACTGTGGTCTTTAAGCAAGAAATGGGGGAGGGGAAATTTCCTGTGTTCTCTGCCATTCTTCCCTGCTTTCTAAGGAACACAGGGACAGGCCAGACAGGACATGGTAAAGTGACAGCTCACATTCACTGAACGCCGCTGTGTGTTGGACACTATTCTGGTACTTTGCACATAGTAGCTCATTTAATTCACACTGCAGCTGTTGGGGGCTAGATGTGTGCTCTCATAGGCTATATCTGACTCTGGAATGTGGGTGTATTTATGTCTCCACTCCCTGTCAGTTTCCTTATTTTAAAGGAACTAATGGCTCAAATAAAATCGCCATCTAAAGATAATTTTGGAAAGGCATTTATATCAGAAAGGGTTATGAAGTCAGCAAGGTAATGCTGATTTTCAGTGACTTTGGTATATCAATTATGCTAAAACCGAGACACACGTATTTCAGAAAAAAGCAAGAAGATGTGGAACAATTGAACAGTTGTTTAGAAAGAAACAGGTTTTGTCTGGATGATTCCTGTCTCCTGCAGGTGTAACACTGAATGGGATTGGTGCTGTTTGAATTTCCTTTTCTGACCCATCACCAGCTCTGGAGCTTCCCTCTCTCAGGATGGAACAACTTGTTACCATGTGGAGCTGGTGTTGCCGTGTTGGTCTGTGAGTGTGTGGATGAGAGGAAAGGGACCCATGGTGCTAGGTTCCAACAAAAACACTCTGAGAGCAATTACTTGATTCTAAAGATAAAACTCTGACTTGTTTATTTGGCTAACAAATAAAAGGTAACAGGAGTAACAGGAAAAAGACTCGAGAAACACATTAAAGGTGTATACTTAAGCATTTTCCAGAAAAAGAAAAAAATCTCAAGCATGACTTTGCCAGCACACATTGACCTGCTGTAGCTCTCATCCTGTGCTGCTGAGGATCGAACCCAGGGCCTTGAACATGCCAGGCAAGTGCCCGACCACTGAGCAGCCACAGCTCCAGCCTTAGCTTTCATCTTAAATGGATTTTCAAACAAGTTTTAGTGGCCATATTCATAACTTCTCTCCCCTCTAATCATGTAAATTTCTTTTTTTGTTTTTCATTTTTGGGGGTGGGGGTAGGGTCTCTCTACATAGCCCTGGCTGTCCTGGAAGTCACTGTGTAGACAAGGCTGGCCTTGAACTACCCACCTCTGCCTACTGAGTGCTGGGATTAAAGGCATGTGCCACTACGTTCAGGTTCATATAATATTTTCAACCACAGCTAAATTGTGCTGGTTTCCATTTACAATTTTGTAATCCTATGTATGTCTTAGCACATTGTCCTGTGGGACAATTTTGTGAAAATTTGTTTGTGAGATAAAATTATTAGAATTTATTTACATTCATGGCCTGTTAACAGTTTAGATATTCTTTCTTTAATTTTTTATTTTATGTGCATTGCTGTGAGGGTGTCAGATCCTCTAGAACTTGAGTTATAGATAGTTGTGAGCTGCCATGTGGATGCTAGGAATTGAACCAGGGTCCTCTGGAAGAGCAGCCAGTGCTCTTAACCACTGAGACATTTCTCCAGCCCCCAGTTAACATTTTAAATTCTTATTTTTCCTCTTATTATTCCTTTATTCTCATTATTCCATTATTCTCAATAACAGAGTGTGATATAAACTTTGTCTCATAGAGTGACACTTTATCTAAGCCTGAATATTTATTTTGATGTGTATGAGGGTTTTGTCCAAATGTATGTGTACCACATGCATGCAGTGCCCATGGAAGCCACAAGAGGGCATTGGATCCCCTGAGACTGGAGTTATAGACAGTTGGGAGCTGCTGTGTGGGTACTGGGAATTGAACCTGGGTCCTCTGGAAGAGCAACCAGTGCTCTTAACCACTGAGCCATCTCTCCAGACCTGAAGCATGAATATTTTAATAACTTTGTAATTAGTTTCATTAAAAGTTGAACGGTTTTTGGAGCAGTCATGGGTTCTCTGGATTCTCGTGACTGCCCTCCTGCAGTCCTGCTGTGGGCCCCGGAGACCAAGCAGTTGGTTTGTGAAATGTCCGTGAAGCACGGTGAGCAGCATCCCAGGCTCTCCAAGTATCAGCTGTTAGAGCGGTCGGCTTAGTAAGCACGTTTGGACGTAATGGGGATGTATTACTGAGAACGTCGATTCTCGGTACCCAGCGACTTGCCCAGGTCGGATGACCCTCACTAGCACCATAGAGAACCCTCAGACATTCGGCTGTAGAAATAACATGGGAAGATCATGTATCTGTTTCTTGGGGAAACCCTGTAAGTGGCTCTCTGTAGAAATATTGTAGAGTTCTGATGGCACTGGTTAGCTTCTGCAGCCATGGGCAGGATCACTTCCTAGTGGGTAAGTCGTTCTTGGCAACTGAGTCCTGGTTATTAGCAGTAGGCTCTGGCATGTCCAGCTTTGTAGTGTGTTGTCTGTCATTACAGCGGTCAGTCAGTCTGCACCATGACAATTGGTAGATGGCCTGGAATGTTTTTATCTTGGGTAAAACTTAATTTGACTGGATATATTTGGTAGCAGTTGTCTTTCAGAAAAATTTCTGATATTCTTTTGTTTGACACTATTGACCTCATTCTATTTTAATTTGCTTTGAAATTCTTTTTGTCTGTTCCTTCCTTTGTACTTTTGATGGTTCTAACCCTTATACTTTTTTATAGATATGGATTATAGTGATTTAATTTTTTCCATAGAGAGTGTATAAAATGTATAAATTTGTATTTATTATAATACAGACAGTGGTGTAAACTAGATACAAATTATCCTGTTTTTTTTTTTTCTTATTCTAGTATTGTAAAGGGAATACGTGAATAGGTCTATAGCTTGTATATAATAGTTGTTTTTTCTGTAGCCTTAATTTTGAGTGAAGTATAGATTGGTAAAATTCGGGAATAACATTCTATAACAGCAGCACCTGACATGTTCTTTCTAACGTCTGTCCTTTATAACATCTGTATTTACGGACATACTCTTACTTACCAGTCAGTAAAGCAGATTTTTGTTTCTGTAATTGGTCCTTGTTCAGTTTCCAGATTTCTACTCTAGTGAATAGTGAATAGTAGGTGCACAAATCCTTGTGTGTATGCTTCTCTCCTTTGGAAAATTCTATGTGATCTATTATTTCTTCCTGGTTTCTTTTTTTTAGACTTTTTTTTCCCCCAGACCTGAGGACCGAACCCAGAGCCTTCTGCTTTCTAGGCAAGCGCTCTACCACTGAACTAAATCCCCAACCCATTTAGATATATTTTTAATAAGTTGGTGTCTTAGGGTTTCTATTCTTGTGAAGAGACACCATAACCACAGCAACTCTTATAAAGGAAAACTTTTGGGGAGTTTCTCTGTGTAGCCCTGGCTGTCCTGGAACTCACTCTGTAGATCAGACTGGCCTCTAACTCACAGAGATCCGCCTGCCTCTGCCTCCTGAGTGCTGGGATTAAAGGTATGTACCATCACTCCTGGCTAAAGGGAAACATTCAGTTGGCGCTGGCTTACAGTTCATAGGTTTAGTCCATTATCGCCATGGCAGGAATGGCAGCATGCAGGCAGACATGGTGCTGGAGAGGTAGCTGAGAGGTCTACATCCTGATCCATGGACATCAGGAAGAGAGAAACACTGGGACTGGCTTGGGCTTCTGAAACATCGAAGCCCGTCCCCAGTGATACACCTCTTTCAACAAGGCCACACCTACTCCAAGGCCACACCTCCTAATAGTGCCACTCCCTATGAGCCTATGGGGGCCATTTTCATTCAAAACACTACAGTTGGCAATCATTTGGAAAAGGAAATTAAGTTTTATATATTAAAATCTAATTTGTTTGGGGGATTAACACATATTGAGTGCTTAATATATTCTTGCCACTTAATTTCGATTATCTTTATAGAGCACACAGCATTTGGAGTGGACACTAAGGATTCTTCAAGGTGCAGACTATTACAGTGAGGCCAGACAGTATATATAGTTAGTGGGAATTGAAGGATAGATCACATTAAGTGTGCTTTGATGACTGTGGGAAGATTTATGTGAAGTATTTCCTCATCAGGCTAATGTTCATGTGAACTGTTTGTAACAAAGCTTTCTTAATTGACGTATACGTTACTTTAACTTCATGCATTTTGACTATTCTATATTCTAATGTAACTATGACTCCCATTTTCATCACTGCTGGGTCCTCTTATGTCCCTTTCTAGTCAGTGGAGCCACCACCCTTTCCCCAGCTAAGTAATTACCTTCAGATTTCTGTCACCACAGTTCACTGTTGCTTTTTCTTAAGTATCACATAACTATCGTCTATAGTTGTACACTGATATTCTTTATGTAGATTTCTGTTTGATATTTTCTTTAGAATCATGAAAAGGTGCTATTGATGGGCAGCAGGGCAGCTTGCCAGCCAAATTAAAGTCTTAGAATAAATGATGATTGAGTATTACCTGAGAGAAAAGAGAGAGGAAACAGATCCACTTGGTATAATTACAGCTTTGGAAAATAGATGCTATCTCCAGTCTACTGCCCAGGAATCTTAGGCTCAGCAAGGTAAGCTAATAAAGTTGATATGTTCTAGCTGACAGGCAGTAGAAAGTAGGGAAACCAGGGTTTGAGATCTGGCCCCTTTAACCTAGAGCCGTGTGTGTGTGTGTGTGTGTGTGTGTGTGTGTGTGTGTGTGTGTGTGTGTGTGTGTGTGTCTGTCTGTCTGTCTGACTGTCTGTGCATAAATGTATGAGTGTGTGTGTCTGGTTGCATACACGCATGTGCCTGTGTGCCTGTAGAGGCCAGAGGTCCATGTTGGTTCTCTTCTTCTGTGGCTTGTCACCTTGTCTTCTGAGACAGGGTCTCTCAGTGAACTGGAACCCCGTGTACTTGGCAGGAATAGGCGACCAGGAAACCTCAGGGATCCTCCTGTCTCTGCACCCCCAGTGCTGGGGTTACAGGTGCACACCAGCACTCCTGATCCATGGACTGGGGCTGTGGATTCGAACTGAGGGCCTCGTGCTTTTCCAGTAAGCAGCTTGCTGACTGAGCCATCTCCCTAGCCCTCCACTGCCACAACTCCTTACAGGTTTTGTTTTGTGATGCTAAGGATAACGCTAAGCTGGTTATCTTCTCCCCCTAACTGGGGTTTGGGGGAGCCAAGAGTTAGGGTTATCGGTCCAGGAAACAGCATCTTTCTTGGAGACCTCCAAGTGGAGAGCAAAGGTAGCCAAACAACGGAGGTGGGAAATTGCTTCATTTCTGGCCTGAAGCCCTCCTGGAAGTTTTTGTAACAGGACCCAAGGTAGTCCCATTCCTTCCTGCTAGGAAGACCTCCAGGATTCAGAGGGCTAAACTCTGCAGCAGGCCAAAATTGTGATGAGATTTGGCTGAGACCCTCAAGGTTAGTGTTAGGGAAGAGCTTTCCCATTATGGAAATGCTTTCTCTTTTGCCAAGATTCTCCAGCATTTGTGTTATAATTGCCTTTCCATTCTGTGAGGACTTCAGCTCTTTTTGGAGATCAGTGTGATCCCTCCCAGTCATCTGCACTTGGTGCGTTTCTCCAGCTTGGTCTGAGAGAGAGGCGAGAAATAGATGTTTTGTTTGTTTTTGTATATTCTACAACAGAAGGGCTCACCCAGCCAGGAATCCTGTATCTGACAAAGCTGGGTATCTGGGAATGGTGGTATGTGCCTGTGTTCCACGTATTGAGGAGGCTGAGGCAGAAGGATCAGAGTTTGAGGGCAACTCAGGCTAGTTAACAAGACCTATTTTAAAAAACAAAAATGCACAAACAAAGAAATGAGGGATAAATTATGACATTCTTATGGATTTTTAAGAAATCCGAGGGATTTGTTACCCCAAGCCTACCCTGTAGGAGGTTCTGGCAGGAGTGTTGAGTATTTGGACAAAATGAAAGAATACTGGATAATAACCAGATAAAGAAATACAGGTCACTCTAGACACAGGGCATGAGCATTACTGTAACAAGTTTGTAATCCTACTTGGTTTTCTACATGATTTAAAAAGCTCATATTGTTTAATTTTAATTTGTAAATCCATAGTTTGTTTTCTGTATAGTTTGAAAGCTAACTCATTTAAAGAATTTAGTTTACTTATAGGGCACACAGTATCTAAAGACTTAACTTACTGATGTAAACGATGGAAAGGGGCAGCTGCAGAGTTACAGAAGCAAAAGTTTTCATGATACTGATTTTTATATAGATACATGTAACACTCTGCCAAACGAAGACTATACCCTTCCATGTTTTCCTCAAGTGCACATGGACATTTTCTAGAAGGGGCCACTGTTAACTCTCAAATTAATCTCAGTAGATTTGGAAGGAATATTTTATAAAGTATCTTCTATGAACATCCCAGGATGAAATTAAAAATAGAAGTGAAAAACCAATAGTAAAACCAACAAGTTTACGGAATTGTGGAAAGTAGACAATATACTTTTAAATAATAAGTAGATGTGGTGGTTTGAATAAGAATGGCCCCCATAGGCTCATAGATTTGAATGCTTGGTCACCCAGGAATGGCACTACTTGAAAGGATTAGGAGGTGTGGCCTTGTTGGAGGAAGTGTGTCACTGGGAGCGGGCTTGGAGGTTTCAGAAGCCCAAGCCAGTCCCAGTGTCTCTCTCTTCCTGTTGTCTGTGGCTCTGGATGCAAAACTCCCAGGTCCTCCAGCACCACATCTACCTGCATGCTACAATGCTCCCCACCATGATGATAATGGACTAAACCTCTGAAACTGTATGCGAGTCCCAATTAAATGCTTTCTTTTATAAGAGTTGCTGTGGTCATGGTGTCTCTTCACAGCAGTAGAAAGAAACCTAAGACAGTAGATTAAAAATCAAGAAGTATTTAGAGACAAAATTAAAATACAACATTGGATCAATAGAAGTACTGATCAGTTGGACATTTATGGCTAGCTGTATATATTCGTTTTAAAACACAGGAGGATTTCAAGTCAACAGCTGATCTTTTTGTTTGCTTGCTTTTTGGAGACAGGGTTTCTCTACATAGTCCTGACTGTCCTGGATCTTACTATATAGACTAGTCTACCCTGAGCTCACAGAAATCCACCTGCTTCTGCTTCCTGATTAATGGGCTTAATAGGCTATTTTTATACCTAAGAAACAATTAGATGAAGAAAAACAAATAAACCCAAAGCTAGCAGAACCAGGGAAACAATAAAGATTAGAAGAAATAAGTGAAATGGACTAGAAACAGTACCTTTTTTTTTTTTTTTTAATGATAACAACATTGACAAAGCTTTAGATAGATGAACTAAGGAAGAAAGATCATTGAAATTAGAAAGGGAAATGGGGACATTGTTACCAATTTTAGAAGTAAAAAGGGTAGTAAGAGAGTACTGTGAACCCGTTTGACAACAGGTAAGATAACCTAGAGGGATTGAAGGATTCCTATGAGGACTAACTCACAAAGAAGAAGAAAATCTGACCAGAGATGCTTATTGCCACCATTTAACACCAGTTGGGGTTGTTGCCAGAGTAATTAGACAAGAAAAGCAAATAAATAAACCTATAGAAAGAGAAGAAGCCAAAGTATGTATTTGCTAATTATAAGATCTTACGTACAGAATCTTATAAAGATTACACAAAAGCTGTTAGAACTAATCTGATTCAGCAAAGTAACAGTACAAATCTGTCTTAGTTAGGGTTTCTATTGCTGTAATGAAACATCATTACCAAAAAGCAACTTGATAGGAAAAGGGCTTATTAGGCTTTCACTTCAGCATTGCTACTGATCACTGAAGGAAGTCAGGACAGGAATTCAAACAGGGCAGGAGACTGGAGGCAGGAGCTAATGCAGAGGCCGTGGACGGTGCTGTTTACTGACTTGTTTCCCATGGTTTGCTTGACCTGCTTTCTTATAGAACCCAGGACCAGCAGCCCAGGGATGGCAGCACTCACCATGGGCTGGGCCCTCCCCCATTGATCACTAAATGAGAAAATACCTTACAGCTGGATCTCATGGAGCTTTTCCTCAGCTAAGACCCCTTCCTCTGATGACTCTAGTTTGGGGCAAGTTGACACAGAACCATTCAGTACAAAGTCAGTTATGTCTCAGATACTAACAATATCCAGTTGTCCTGATTAGTTTTTTGTCAACTTGATAGGAGCTGGAATCATTTGGAAGAGGAAACACCATGAGAAAATGCCCCCAAAGATTGGCCTGTAGGTAAGCCTGAGTGCCACTCATGGGCTGTTGGTCCTGGATGTAGTAAGGAAACAGGCAGAGCAATCCTTGGGGAGCAAGCCAGTTAGCAGCACTCGTCTGTGGTCTCTGGTCAGGTTTTTCCTCCAGGTTCCTGCCTTAAGTTCCTGCCCTGACTCTTTTTGTGATGGACTGATCGGGACATGCAAGCTAACACAAACCTCCTCTCCCCGAGTTGCTTTTGGTTGTGGTGTTTTCCTGCAGCAAGAGAAGCCCTAACTGAGACACCAGTCTAAGGAAGAAATTGTGCAATCAATTCCATTTAGAGTATATTCAGAAGGAGGAAAATATTTAGTAAATATTTAGCCAAAAAAGACTTGTGTGATGAGAACTATACTTAGAATTAGCAGATGGACTCAGTCGAAATGATTCTGGTTTTGTTTAACATCCAGAGCATCAGAATCAGGAGCCAGCCTCACACACACACCTTCCTCTCTCCATCAGGACTGACGTTGATGTCATCAGTGTCACAGAATTTCTTCACAGCCTCTTTGCTCTGGTGCCTGTTGGCCTTGCCGTCCCATCGGGCACACCTGACTTGTCGCCTGTCTCTTCAGGGCTGACTCAGTGGTCAGGGGACACGTGCTGACAGCACACTGGTCAGCCTTGTTGCTCCTGGAAATGCTCTTGAGAAGGTTTTTGAGCCACTTCAAGAGCCTCGGGGTCTTGGGCTGGGAGGTGGGTGACTAAGGGATCTTCTTTCGTGCTTGGTTGTGGACGCCGCTCAGCACTCACTGCCTTCTCTGTTTTCAGAGCCTGTGCTTGGGCTTTGGCCATGGGAGGGCAGGAGCCCTTCTTCACTTTCAGCTCCATCTTGGCAAAAGCTAGAATGTGATTTCGATTCATTCGGATGATTTTATTCTATTTCTCTGTCCCATGTTTATCACAATAAGCTACATCATCGTCATTTTTAAAGTCTCTTAAGCATCAGGCTTCCAATGTTTATTTAGATTGTCTAATGATGCACCAAATGAACCCCAAATGGACTACATATACGCCAAGTATTTTGTCTCCCAGAAAACAAGGAACGAGAGAGAATGCATAGAAAGTTCTTGAACCCTGAGGCATTAAAGGAAAACTGAAAGGAATTTTTATGACCACATTAAAGAAACATGTGACAAATACTTATAACAAATAAGAAAGGCGACAAGCTAATAATAGCTTTATGATACAAAGAGTTACCATCTGCTATAGGAATGAAGGGGAACTGAGTGTAGAATTCACGAGCACATTCAAGTAAGGATGAGAATGTAGTTCATGATAGTAACACATTTTAAAATCCTTGTTGTAAGAATAGAATATTCAGTGTGTACCAAGTTGTTAGCCAGACATTAAGTCCAAAAACTGAAGTTCTGCATCCACTAGCCAAAATAAGTTCAGATGGACAAAACATTTAAATTGGAATTCTAAACAGAATGATACTGTAGGTGAGTGTAGACGTGGGAATTAGGCAGCCTGAGTTTGTCCCGCCTCTCTCTGACTCCCTGGCCATGTGGCCTTGGGCAGGTTAGTTAACCACTTCATGCCTCAGTTCATGAGACAAGGATGAAGCGGCAGCCGCCTCACAGGAGGGACGTTGTGAGGATCAAATGTGTTAGTACACGTGATGGGTGTGGCCTGGTGCCTGGTGCATGCAAGTACATTTAAAAATAGCTGTCACTATTGTCAAGCAGGTAAAACTGTAAAAGCATTAAAGGAAAATTTGGTAGATATTTTTATGAGCTTGGGAGTGGGGGGAAGACTTATAATCATGACATCATAGAAGATGAAGAGATTTATCATTTAAAACTTCTGCACATGGGGAAGTACTTCTGATCAGTGAGTGAAGTGTGGGGTCACCAACCATGGGGGGACAGGCTATGAGGGTGACATTGTTTTGTGACTTCCTGCACTGAAGCCAAGCCTGGCCAGGTGAGTACCTGGGAAGAGCTTATTTGAATGTTTTACACATTTTCTTGGTTCTTCTTAGAGCTGCTGTAACAAATTTCAACAAACTTGGTGTCTTCTGTGGAAGTTTCTTCTTGTCGTTGTAGTTCAGCTCTGGAATCCAGAAGTCCAGAATCAGAGTGTGAACTTGTCATGTTCCTGGGGATTCTGGGGGGAGGTCCTTCTAGTTTCTAGTGGTCCTGGACCTTCCTATTTCCCCCAAACACTCACATTCTGGGGCCCAGGGTGGACATGAATTTGGGAGAAACTTTATTTTACCACAATGTTATACTCCCTTTCATGGGGAAAACAGCTGTAAGCCTGGCTGTAAGAGTGTGGTGTGGCTCTCAGAAGTCTCCAGAACAGATCCAACACCTCACTGGAGGCTGGGGGAAGTAGCAGAGGGGACGTGAGCAGAGGTACCTTGAGGGGAAGCCAGAGACCCTCAACTAGTCATGGCAGCGGCTTTCTTTTGGACACTGTCAGGTTCGGGTGCCCAGGAACAACAGGGATATACCAAGAATATAGCAGGGGCTGGGTCAGTAGAAGATGGGGTGTTTGTGTGTGAGGTCCTGAGTGCAGTCGCCGGCACTGGGGGGGAAATCGGAGTTCACAGGAAGATAATAAACCTCAAAGAGAGACAAGTGGGGCCAGCAAGATGGTTCAGTGGGTGAAGGTGCCTGCCAGCAAGGCTGAGGACCTGAGTTCAATCCCTGGGACCCACATGCTGTGGAAAAAGAGAAATGACTCCTCGTTTATGCTGTGGCATACGCGTGTACACACCACACCACACAAGCGCGCGCGCGCGCACACACACACACACACACACACACACACACACATGCGCACACACTCATATTTCAAAGTCAAACAAGAGGCGTGCGTTTCCTCGTATGGAATATTAAGAGACAGCACTGGAACACCGAGCCTTAGAGAACAAATCAGAATTTCTAAAGAAGGCTCTAGGAGATTATGAAATTAAATACCAAGATAAAAATTGTGTATGGGTACATACGTAATTGGGGGAATGTCCCAAACTCTCATTAGGTCCAGAAGGGTGTCAAGACCCATGAAGAGTGTGCAGACTGAAGAACTCTTCAGTGTAGACTGTTAGACTAGTCTCAGAGAAAAAGGCTGATGGACCTCCCCTTACAATTGCCAGGGAGTAGATTGGTCCTTTAATGTATCAGGTACAAACAGGAAAATATCACAGGGCACATTTCCTCTTGTTCTAGTTAGCAATGAGAGTTAGCCTTGTTTTCCAAGTTTGTGTAAGTAATTATAGCCGTAGAAACCAACCAAAACCCTTAGCTCCACTCTGTAGCCAACCCCTCTCTGTCCCTTATGGCCAGCTCTTGGTTTCCTAGCCTCTTTCACACACCCCTCCCCTTCCCTTCTCTGGGAGAGTGTCCCCAAGTGTGGCCCCTTCACTAATCTTCTTCCATGTAGTGAGACTCCCTAGGGCGTCTCATTCCTTCCTTCCATTTCTCTCCTACCCCCCTGAGGTAGATATTTCTGAGCCTGACCCGTTAACTCTTCCTCGTTGGGTCAGGTCATCTCGTGCTGCATGCTCTTTTCATGTGTCCTGCTTTGTTCCTGTTGGCTGTGCTTCCCTCAAAATGCTGGCGTCTGACTGATATGTACTGGCGGGAGAGGCTAACACTAAACTGGAGCTCTTGCTGGAACTGGGCCATGGGGGTGCTCACCCCATCACTCTCCCCTCCTGCCACTAGTTGACTGTGGTTCCTCAGGAAGCTCCTGACTGCCAGGTGTACACTTTCCCGTGCCCATCATCTGAACAGTCAGTTTTCCCTAGAATGTGGAAGATCGGTGAGGGAAGAGGAGCCAGGCTGCCAGGGCCTTTGCTTCCTGCCTGCCTGCTCCCCTGCAGTGAAGACCCCTGCCCTGAGGTGCTCACATGGTCCCTGGCTCGCACTGAGCTCACCCTGCTCTGAGTTGCGGTTGGGCCATGCTGATGGCACGTGGCCCACAGCAGTAGGTGAAGGAAGAAAGGGGCACAGTGCCCTCCCTGGGCAGCCGTCTCTGACCCTTCCCACCTCTCCCCTGCCTCCTGGCCACTTCTGTTCATTGGAGGATCTTTCTGTTAGTCACCTTCTCAGCCCGGCACCTGGATGCTTTTTCAAGTGGTGTCGCGGGCTGGCACTCAGAGGAGCTAGCAACATGTGTTAGTTTATAATGAGCAATAAAACTTTCACGTTGGGGAAAAATGAGGTCAATGTACATTAAGAATAATGTTAATGTCTTGGAAAGGAAGTATATTCAGTTCACAAACATTTGGAAATGTTTAAAGAAATGGTGAGGTTTAATTTCAATGATACCTTTAAAAAATTACCTTTTGTAGAACACTTTTCAGAGATTTTTCATCCAGTGATGGTAATACAGAGTAAAGTGAATATATCCATAAACAACCATAAATAAGTAAAAAAGATAGAGTGCAATTAGAAGAAAATGCCCGAGTTTGACCTCTGACCTTCACATACATATACATGGATATGTACTCCTCCACCCCCCAATCAACTTGATAAGTCCCTTGCTGGGTGACCTTGACAATTACTTGTGCGAGCCTTGTTTGGCTTTTTTGGTTTTTAGTTTGTAAGGTGGCAGCAGCAAACCACTTGCTTCCAAGTTATTGGGAGAATTTCCTGAAGTCGAGCCAGAAGCTTGGTGTATGTAACAAGTGCAGAGATGGAGGGGGTATGGAGGGCTGATGTGATGGGTTCTGTTTTTCCATGGGTTTATTTTGAAGCCTGAAGAAGTTGGGAAGTGAGCAAGGGTGGGAGGGCTGGCTGGAGGTGAGAAAGCCAACACATGCTGAGGGTTTAATTCTGCCCTGACAGATTTGGGAGAAAGTCTGTGGTGTCTACAGCGGCTGTAGGTTCACTCTGCAGTTTTCAGAGTGCAGTGACTGCAAGTCTGTGATGTTGTTGGTTTGTTTTTCTTCTTTATTCTTCGAGGGGCCAGCCACAAATTCCCAAGTAATTCACACAGAGGCTTATTCTTAATTACAATTAGCTTGGCTTGTTTCTAGCCAGCTTTCCTTAACGTAACTGATCCTATCTACCTTTTGCCTCTGGGCTTTTCCTGTTCTCTGTCTTCTGTAAATCTTACTCTGTGGCTTGCTGTATAGCTGGGTGGCTGGCCCCTGGAGTCCTCCTCCTCTGGCTCCTTCTTTTCTCCTCCCAGATTTCTCCTTCTATATATTCTGCCTTCTAGCCCCACCTTTTCTCCTGCCTTGCCATTGGCCATTCAGTTCTTCATTAGACCATCAGCTCTTCTAGACAGGCACGGTAACAAAGCTTCACAGAGTTAAATGCAGCATGAACAAAAGTAACAACCTTGAAATCATACTCTGCAGCAGTGTGATGTAAGTAGAGAGCCTGTCCTTATTCCTGCTGCCGGGCCCCTTCCCAGGCTTCCCGCATGCCCATGCACATGACCCCTCCGCTGCTTTAGATCCAGTTGTTCCTGACTGGGGCTGGACAGTGATGCTTTGCCTGCTAGGAATGCAGACTCTCATTACCCAGGGTGCTGGAGCACTTGCATGTAGGATTTTGTATTTCCAACAAGTTCCCAGCTCATGGGCCACACCGAGTAGAAGGGTTCTAGAGTATTCTCAAGCTGGTTCTTTAGATGGTTCTGTGTGCCCCCATTCAAGGAGTGGAAGACTAAGGATGCTGTTTGGCATCTCCAGGGAAGCTGTTTTAAGATAAGCAGCTTAATGTAAATATGGCAAAGGTTTTGTGTTATGTTGTAACCTGTTAAATCCACCAACCAGTGTTTAAAACTCTGAGGTACAATCTGAGAACATGGTATTCTAGAAAGTGGCTAAATGGCAGGCTGACTTGGAGTAGTGGGAGGGAGAAGAGATGCTCTTTTGGGGGAGTTTGAGACAGGTTTTCTCTCTATAACTTTGGAGCCTGTTCTGGAGCTTGCTCTGTAGACTAGGCTAGCCTGGAACTCACAGAGATCCACCTGCCTCTGCCTCCTGAGTGCTGGGATTAAAGGCGTACGCCACCACCACCTGGCTGAAGAGATGCTTTTTGAGGGTTGCATGTCACTGCTTTGTCAATTTATCATTCGGCATTTAGGAACCTCTTTTAAGCAGCAGTAGATTGATGTCACCACAGTGTAGATAAAAGTTCACGAGTCCTTCACTAAGTAGAGGACAATGGACATAGGATTCATAGAGAACATGGAGTCAAATCTGCTATGTGTGGCAGAACATCGAGAGAAGAGAATGTAGGCTGATGCTCACGTTGCTGACTCTGCAAACAGTTCACCTTGAGACTGTAGGAAAGGGAAGAATGTGGGACCTGTTTCACTTTGAAGGCTGTGCAGGTGGGTGTGAGATGTTTGTGGAACTGCCCAGTAAGTATTTAGGCAAAATCCTGGGTTTCCAGAGAGAGTCCTAGCTGATGCTCCATGTGTTGGAAGCATATGTTGAAAGTGTGGGTCACCTCTTCAGAGTCCTCCAAGTGAGAAGAGATGAACTCCAGACACAAGGCACAGCAAAAGAGCCCTCCCAGGAGCCTGGCAGGGAACATCTAGAGAATGGGCAGCCTGACTTTTACTTCACTTTAAAACATGTGACAGTGATATTCAGTGTCTGATGGCAGAGCGGAGCCCTGGGCCTTCTGTTACTCTTGGATGGCTGCTAGCTCACTGTTTTCGTCTGTGCATTCTTGAAGGTCCTTAGGATTCTGGTCAGGGCAGTGGTCAGTGGTCTGAGCGATCGAAGTGGAGACGTTGCCTCCAGCCTCAAAGGGAAGCTGCGGGAGTTGTTTGGCAGAGTGACCTCAAGAGTGACCAACGATGGAGAGATCTGGAGGCTGTATGCCCAAGTACATGGAGACGGGCAGAGTGAGAAGCCTGAGGAGAACGAGAAGGTCAGTGCTGGGCCTCTGTCTGTGCCGACACCCGTGGATAAGAGGTCTGCTTTTTGTTTGGTTGGTTTCTTTGAGTGAAGGATGAGGTCAATAATATAAAACAAAACTAATATGCTTAAATTTAGAGAGAGAGAGAGAGAGAGAGAGAGAGAGAGAGAGAGAGAGAGATAGTGTGTGTGTGTGTGTGTGTGTGTGTGTACACACACGCATGTGTGTGCACATGACAGAGAACAACCTCAGGTGCTGTTTCTCAGATACCATCCACCTTTTTTGGACACAGAGCCTCCTGCTGGCTTGGAATTTACCAAGAGAGCCCCAGGGAATCCCAAGGGTCCCCTGTCTCTGCCTCCCCAGTGCTGGAATTACAAGCATGTGCTGCTATGTCTTTTTTTTTTTTTTCTTTTAAATGAGGGGTTCTGGGGATTGAACTCAGGTCCTTGTGTACTGGTGAAATTATTAAGGCCATTCCACATAGTTAAAGGGAGGTTTATTTTGTGAGGTAACTTACAAGTGAAGGGATAGGGTACAGGGTCTGGGAAAGGCGTGGCGCAGTCCAGCGGTGTTCTCTGGAGAACTGCTCGGTCTCCCTCCAGCGTCCAGGGTCCAGGGTCCAGGAACCAAGAGAGCCCGCGCATCTGGCACCCGGGTCTTCAGCGTGCTCTCTCGCCCCGCCTTGTAGGCGTGGCCGGAGCGTCATCCGGGTCAGAGCTGGAAGGGCTGCCCACTGTACTTGAGCTCCAAGGCGAGTGCTTTATTGACCTGGCCACCTCCCCAGCCTTCAAATTCAGTCTTGAGCACTTTGAACTGTGGGCGTGCTAAGACTTACAACAGTCATCATTTTCCAAGTCATGAGTTTTTCTGCGGCAGACATTGTGTGTCCTGCGGAAGGTTCCCTGTCCCGCTGTCCCTCCTGGATCTGTGGCAGCCAGATGCCCTGTGCCCTTCACTTGCATACCTTTCCGCAGGCCAGTGGTTAAAGACAAAACAAAAAGTGTTTAGATCTGAGATGAAGCTACCAAAGGGAAAAAACTGACTAAGGGGACAGAGCAGGAAATTGCAAGTGCGGACACATTGCAGGGAGCACCCTGCCCTTCTTGCAAGGCAGCAGGTTGCTAATCCCACCCCAGTTATGCGTTAGCCTCTTGTCTTCAAGCCCAAAGGAGCCCAGAGCTTCCAAGGTTGGGATCATCGGTTTGTGTTTCTTTTCAACAGATCACAGCAAATCAAATGTACTCCTTGCGTGGGTTTGGAATTAGCCACGGTCCAGCTAATCTATGGGATTCTTAGCTGTTCTCTCCTCCTCCTGTCCACACAGCCGGCTTCTACCATGGCCTTGTCAGCCCACAGAACACATATCTCAGGCCTGCATGCACACACTCCTATTCATGTCCTTCCATTTCTCCTGTACTCTGGAGCACATAAAAGCACTCTTGTGACTTCTCCATCAAGACGTTTTAAGATGAAACAAAAGAGCATTTAAACATCTGTGAGATTATATACTTGTTAGCCAGCCCATACTTTGCCCCAAGTTCATGCCTTATTCTCTCACGGCATCTCTCAGCTTGGTGGCTGGAGGAAGTCTGCACACTGGCCTTCGTGTTTTCCTGGTTCTGGAGAGCTGGCTGTCCAGATAACCTCCTTGGTTTCTCACGGTTGTTGGTTGCTATTGCATGTGCATCCTACCCCTTCTTTGATGGTATTTACAGAGATGCCTCACAATACAGATGCTGGCTTTTCAGTTTGGAATTAGTTCCATATGACTTCCAGGAAGCAATTTGAACTGTGAATTCTACTTGTTGTTTTGAATGTTGTTTGTTCTGTTTTCCTAGGCATTCCAGTGTCTCTCAAAGGCCTACAAGTGTGACACACAGTCCAACTGTTGGGAGAAAGACGTTACAGCGTTTAAGGAAGTTGTTCAAAGAGCCGTGGGACTCGCACATGGTATTTGATGTCCATATCGTATTTAATGCATTCCTCACTGATAAAATAGTGCTAGTCAGAAATCGGGTTCCACTGCAGGAACTTTGTGATTACTCCAGTATATGGAAATTGTTGTAGTTAATTCAGAAACCTTTATAGAGCTCCTGTTATGTAGCAGGCAATAGAGAAATAGGCACACAATGAAGATAACTCAGAGGCTCGAATGCTGCTTCAGCAATTGACAGAACCTAGAGAGAGTGACATATTTTACTCCCAAGAATCTTTACTCCACACAGAGTCCTTGTTGATTATGTCATATTGAGGAAAATCGTTAGCATTTCCTTAATTGACAGAGGTGCCAGAAAAGACTCATCAAAATGTGCAGATCTCTGGAGTTTTCATACATATATAAAAATACAAAATATAATATCATCTATAATTTGTTTGTTATATCTAACAAACAAACCTTAAAATGTTTGTTTGTTAGATATAGTTCAGACTTTCTTGCATTATCAAAAAGTACCAGCTAAATTCACTGCTGCATGTTATATTGATATTTGAGTGTGGGTGTGCTATGCCCTGGGAATATAGTTCCCATGAGTTAATAAAGTCCTGGCCTTGAGAACGGAGTCACACAGACTGTGCCTCCTGCCTGTGATAGTGACAGCAAGGAACAGTGAGAGGGCAGAGCTTTGGAACCAGGGACACTAAAGATCCAGGACCACCGTCACCACATGCTTGCTGGGTGACGCTGAGTCGGTGACTTGGTGTCTCTGGGCCTTTGGTTGGTTGTAGGTAGAATGGGAGAATACTTCCCTGTGTTGTTAGGAAGACTCAGCAAGGTCTTTCCCCGTACGTAACGGTATCTTACACGTCGTTTAAATGTGGATCTCTCCCACCCCCACCCCATTTCTCCTGAAGTAGAGGAGCTGGCCCACAAGGAACTCCAAAAGAGAAAAGCGAGGGACGGGGATAAAGTTTAACTGCCTATAAAGAAGTCATAGACCGTTCAAATGGCTCAGAGTGCCTTAGTAGTTAATAATTCTACTCGTGGCCTTTCAGATCTTTGACTGGAAGAATGTAAATGTCCAGTTTCCCAGACCATCTAGCCCCTGGCAGATAAGGTCGAGGGGCTGAACTCTCTCTGGAAGGTAGAAAGTTGGAGGTGATTGCAGGATACAGCTGTTTTCGGGGTGGCTGCAGCTCTATGGCCTGTGCTGGCCTCGTGGTAGAGGAAGCCAGAGGGGGTTTGGGCCTTTGCCTTTGGCCTTTGCAGATGTGGTATTATGTCTGGGGAGTCTCCACTGATGTGTATATGTGTATACCCAGCAGGGGGGGGGGGGTTTACTCTGAAGACTATCTTATTTTAACTTGCCCTCTCTGAACATCTCCTTGAGCAGCGAGCTCTGTGATGTAATCACAAGTGCTGGCTTCATACCTGTCCACCATAACTGTGCAGGCCAGAGGTACTCCAGAAGACCTGCTGCTGGCAGCTCGGCAGGGCTTTAAACCGTTGTTGGCACCTTTTCCGTAGGGTGACTCCCGGGGAAGAACAAGCGACTGTTCTCTGGGGTTTCCGTCTCCTACTTGCACGGGTGATGTGCTGCATTCCAACACGGCAAGCAGGGTTGAGTGGATGCTTTACATTTATCCCAGTGACTCTTACCTTCGTGGCATTGTACGTTGTGCTCAGAGAGTCAGCTGGGTTTCTGTTACTCCACCAACACTGTTTCTTCACACACACACACACACACACACACACACACACACACACACACACACACACACACCCCTTTTAAAGGAAATACGGCACTTCATAAGTCTTGGTGCCTGCTGGATTGCCGAGGGTAAGCTTTGCTGTGGGCTTCGTTGGGCATGATAAGGACAACCCGGCAGTCCTGGAGCCCTTGTGTTGTTTGTATCATCGCGAGGATGGCCATTTCCAGTCTCCAGCCCCATCCATCCCCCTCCCCTCCGCCCGCTGTCTCACTGCCTGTTGGGAGTGAGGTTGAGGTGGGAACTAACAGAAGGTGTGTCCTTTTTGTTTTCTTCAAATTGAGGGGGAAAAAAAACCAAAAACATTTTTTTTTGAGACAGGGTCTCTCTGTCTGTCTGTCTGTCTGTCTGTCTGTCTGTCTGTCTTGGCTGACCTGGAACTCAGTCACTATGTAGACCAGGCTGGCCTCAAACCCAGAAAGGTCTTGGGTTCTGCCTCTGCCTCCCAAGTGTTGGAATTAAAGGCATATACCACCATGCATAGCTTAAAAAGTGACGGACTTTTAAAAACCAGAACTACCAGTGGTGTTTCTGGTATCAGCTCCTAGTCATTAAGCAAATGGTGTACCTCTGCTGTGGTTGTTCGACAACTCCTCCCTCCAGAGAAAGAGTTCAGTATCCGATCGATTGGGCTCTATGAAATGGGCTTCACATTGCTAATCAGTATGCATCCAACATGAGAATAGTGAAGTCTAATCATTATTCTGAAATAGAAACATCAAACCCAGTTCTTGCTGGCCACAGATCTTATTAATTCATGTCAAAGCTATTTTGTCAGGCCATAGGCTGTTTCTCCTGATTGCTTATAGTTTGCGCTGTGGTCTGTGACATTGTGGTTTTAAAATAGGATCTGCTTTTCAATTTAGTGAATATAATTTTTAAAATGTGTTGTTTTATGTGTATGAATGTTTTTCTGCATATATGTCAGTGCCCTGCGTGAGTACAGTGCCCGCAGAGTCTAGAAGAGGGCATCACATCTCCTGGAACTGGACTCTAGATGGTTGCAAACCACCGTCTGGGTGCTGGTAATGAAACCCAGGTCCTCTGAAGAGCAGCAAGTGCTCTACCCCTGAGCCATCTTTCCTCAGCTTAGCTTGTGAATAATTTTAGAAAAGAAAAGCAGAAACAACAGAAAGAACCCAGACACCTGTTGGTGTGGAACCTTGTTCTTACAAGGCATTCACAACCAGCCTTCCTCCAGGGAGGAGTATGCTCCCTTCAGAATTCCAAGTCTTAGAGAAACAGGCTCCCCAGAATGCTTGGAGGCAGAGTTTCTAGGGTCAGGAGATTTCCCGCTGAGTTGATGGCAGATGTGGTTCAGGAGCCTGGCCTTGGTCACAGTCCCTAAATGAAGACATGTAGATTGTTGGTGCCAGTTCTCCCAGAATGCCATGCATATAATATTGGTGTATAAAAACGTAGCAAGCATTTGAGCTTGCCACATCTGGCATGTGACTTTGCTGGGCCAGTGAGCTCTTCGAACGTGAGTCCTCCATAGTGACTGGGAACCATGGACAGCCACACTGAGATGTGCTGCATTTGTTTTGGTCCTCTGAGTGTGCCTTGCTTTCAGTAAGGCTTTATTTGTGTGCCTAATTCACTAGTGCACACGTGTGAATGCATGCATATGTGTGTGTTTACATATGTGTGTGGGATCCCAGCGTAATGTAACTCACCTGAATGCACACATTTTCTTCAGAATTCTCCTTAGCAATGTTCTCCTATATAGAAGGATGAAGGCTAGCTGGGGTGTAACTCAGTGGTAAGGAGTGCCTACCCAGCATGCACAGGCCTGGGTTTGGCTTCCCAGTGCCACCAAGGAGAGAAAGTGAGAGGAGGATTTAGGGGAGTGAAACTTCTGACGTTGACTATTAAAAGTTTTTAGTAAGTGGCTGCTTTCGAACCCGCAGACGGTCAGGTCTACAGCGGTTCCCTGTGTTTTCCTTACAGTGGCTATAAAATGCAGTGAGAGCAAGTCCAGTCCCCAGGAAGCTGTGCAAGCACTCTCCTCGGTTCGGCTCAACATCCGGGGTTTGTTGTCCAAAGCAAAGGTGAGAATGACCCGGAAGTTCATCAGAGCTGTTGGGTGGAAGGTCATCGGCCTCAGGCCACTCCTGTGTAAAAAAGAGTTGTTCTCGTTAGGCCCCAGTGGGTCATTCGAAAATGGAAAGAATTGCCTGTGCACATCTCCTTGGAAACACCTTTTGATTGTGATGGGGCGGGTGTCTCTGGTTTTGTATCTGTAGTTTTGAACTGGGTTTGGTAACTGAATTGCTCTTCACAAAGTGAAAATGAGGAGAGAGCTAACCGTTAGAGCTTGAGGCAGTCTTGGTTTGCATGGGTCTGTCTTCTGTTGCCTGGCTAGAGACTTCAGAAATAAGCTGGAGAGCCCCCACCCCCACCCCACACCTCCAATTAAACAAAGAACTATCTTATCAGTACAAATGCACACACAGAAACTGTGCATTTGTAGGAAATTTAAACAGACTCCCTCGCAGGTCATTCAGGCCACGTCCTCAGGACAGAGTGACTCCTCTGTCCTCAGCTCCTTGTCATTGTTGCTGCCAAGGTTGTCATGAGGGCTGTGGGTGGAGATGAGTCAGATTTGATGCTCAGCAGATTGCTCATTCTTTCTAAGCCTCAGTTTCTCTCTGCTCCTCTTTGCCTCATTGAGAAGGAATGCAGGTTCGTTGTGATTTATAAGTACTGTGATTCCTATTGGAAATGTGCTGTGTCTGTTCAGGTTCTTTGCCTAAAAGATGTATTTTCTACTCAGCACACCATAGCAGTATTTATGTCAGTCTGTTAGGAAGTGCTGTTCAACAGTACAAATCTACTCAATTTGGATGAAAAAAATTTATAGCAAGCCAAATCACAGGCCTGTTATATGCACATGTATGTGAACCTACCTCTCCTTCCTGCCCATGTCTGAAGCTGATTTTCTTGGTTGCCTTTCCTGACTCACCAGACATGCAGAATAAATAGAATTTTTAAATTTATTTTATTTGTCGTATAACATTGACAAAAGCAATCAACATTTAAGGCAGTTGCTTCAAGAACAAAGCAAGGCTTGAACCCAAGGCCTTGGGCACTCTAGGCAAGTGCTCTACACTGAGCTGTAGTTGAGATCCTTTGCATCTGCAGGTTCAGGCTCACTGTTTAGATTTGCTAACTATTAGGCCTGTACCTTTCTGGGGTCTAAGCAAACACTGTGTTGCTGCTGCATTGTTACAGTAGCATCATGCCAACAGCGCTGGGATTCTAGTTTGCTGTGTTGGCTCGACATTGTATCTGGATTGCTTGGAAGACATTTTCATCTTTTGATAGTCATTCTGTTTTTACATTGCAGCAGAACTTTACAGATGTGGCAAGCGGAGAAGTCTCTGGAGAGCTAGCCAATGAAATAGCAGCTATGGATGCCCTGCAGGCTGAGCTGCAAGACCTCAGCAACCAGCTTCGAAACCGATACTGACTGTGCTAGAAGCAGTTTGCGGCTAAGGCACCTTTGACTTCTCCATTTCCTCCATTGCCTGTGTATCTGAAACACAAGATACGGATTTTTAAAATAAATTTGTTTGCTGGCAGACAGGCTTATTTTGTGATGTTCTCAGATGTTAGCAGTTCTGAAGTTCATTAAACAGAAATGTTGGTTGTACTCTTTGTCTGGTTATTGGTAAGTTCAGTGTTGGCGGTTTTTGAGGCGCTCCAGCACAAGGGGGCCAGCACAGGGATCCTCCTCGCTCAGCCTAGCGTGAGTGCATCATTCTTTGGAAGAGCTTAGTATAAATGGGGGGAGGGCACAGATACTACAAGCTTTGGAATCATTAGCTTGGCTATATTACTGTCCAAAAATGATAAAAGAGTGAACTTGGCAGTGGAATCATTTACACTTGTTGAGATTTTATGTCTGTGTCACAGGCATGGGCTTGTCTAAGTTGGAAGTGTGAGTGTGGTTTAATTTCCAGATCAAGAGAATGCAAGAAAAGAAATGATAGACCCAAATTAGGACTCCACCATTAGCCACTAGGAACCAGGCTGTTAGCTCTTGGTGGCATACACTGCCAGCCCCAGAGATATTGTTCAATCAGCTTATTGTGGTGAAGACAGCCACAAGTGGTGCCACACAACAGAAACGCCAAAAGAATAAAGTGCTTTTTAGGATGTCGGTGGAAACAGTTACTGGAGGTGGCGGCCAGTTTATAATCACAGAACGAAAGTCAAAGTGAGGGATTCTTAGGTTCCTGACTTGAGTTGCTCAGTTTTGGGTCCTATGTGGTCCCTTGTATTCCATGTTCTTATTTATAGGATATAAATAATTTCTACTCCCAGTTTCTTTCTGATTTCAGCGATCTTTGGAATTTAACATTTTATGATCCATCAACATAAAGTAGTCTGAACACTTAAAATTCTTTCATAAATGGATTTTGCTTATGGCTGCTTACTAGTTTTAAACACTGTGGTCCCTTAACCATCTGCTTCTCTTTTCTATTATCATACCAGCCTTCACAGGGGGAAAAATAGTCTGTCCCAGAGTTTCTCCTGTAAAAGACACTACTGCTAGAAAATTCCACTAAAACGAGGTGGTTACAGGAGTTATGATTTCGGGTCTAGTTAAATCTTTTAGGGAAGCCATTGAGGAGTGAGTGGATGGATGAACAGTGGGGCAGATAGACAGGTGGACGGTTGATAGTGGGTGGCAATGGTTGGGTGGAGCAAGGTTTTAAATTTTTGTTGGGAACCCCAGTGGGTAAAAGAGAAAGAAATGCCCCAAAGGACAAGGGTTTCGAAATCAAGTGGAAGACTGAAGCTCTCAATGTATTGTCCGTTGAGTTCAAGGTAGACGTGAACTCATGGCGGGAGCAGTCTTCTCCACAGCTGTACAGAATCACAGTCTCTCTTTTGTCAAGGGGTGTTTTCTCAAAGGAGAGCTTCCTTGAGGGGGTGTAGACCAAAGGAAACAGGAACAGTGTGGCATGGCGGTGTGCTCTCACCAGCTTCAGCTTCTGCCGTGAGGACCGCCCTCAGCGCCTCTGTACCCGTTGCCGGGGAGTCTCAGGGTTTCGTGTTCATCTCTTTTGGCTAACTAGTGTCTCCCCATGTGTCTTAGTTTTTGTAGCTTCCACTTTGGTTTTCTAGTATTAATGCCTTTTTTCAGAATCGTTCTTTTGCTTTGTCAACTGCAAGAATAGGAAAGATAGGATCCCAAAGTGGGGCTGACAGCAGCAGCCATGAGACACTGGATGCTTATTATACCCCAGCTGTCACCTCTCACTCTCAGAGCCCTGTCAGGTCAGTTGGTGATATCTGCAGGATTCCCAGGGTCACAAGCTCTGGAAAGAGAAACAGATTCCAGAGTTTCCCCTGCTGCTTCTACCAGATCTGTTGATGTGTCTTCTCTCTGGAACAGTGGGACAGTTTGCCTTTCTTCACTCAAAGTTCTCCAAGAGAAATTCTGTGAGGTCTCAGTTGATAACAGCATGTGGTTTGTTAGGATTGCTAATTAATAAATTCCTTGCCGGCCTTTTCCCAAATAGCATCATGACTGAGTCCTTAAGTACAGAGGAGTGAAAATGAACTCCGGTGAATAAGGATCCTTTTCGGTACCCAAAGCCAAACCATAGGATGCTTAGGGAGCTGCTGCTGAGTCTGGGAGGCAGAACTGTGGTCAAGGAGGCGTGTGGAAGGCTCAGACTACAGAGCCCTATAGACTGTTGTGGCCCATTTAAGGTTGGATTCCTTGGTCCCATGTCAGATGAAGCCTCGTCATGGTCGCGAGGTCCCCAAATGCTGAGGAAAATGACTGACTTCATTGTGTATCCAGACCACTCTTGCCATGCTGCCTTTGTTTATGTCGGATGTGCTGTTAGTTTTTCATTCACAGAAATGTGAAAGGAATGATCCCACCTGTCTTCCGGACCTCGTTCAAGAACTGTGATGTGCCACAGGTCCAGCTAGCTGGGGCGATTCAGGATCACTCACCCAGTTTATACCACTAGTTCTAGTCTAGTTTAAAGCTGCCCGGGGGAAGGGGTTTGGTTTTCTTTTCCATTTTGTTTTTATAACATCCATGTCAGTCTAAATTGCTGTTTAGATAAGGCAGCTCTGCTTTGCCGGCCAAGAGTGAGGAGTCCAATCTGCTGAGTGGATGCCACACCCTTCCTTTCTGCCTGTTCATTCAGCAGGCCCTGGAGTGAAATGGCAGAGCCTTTATTCCGATGGAGGGTGCCAGTGCTGTGGAAATACAGCCGGATTTCTCACAACGAGCAGAAGGGCTTATAAATAGATAGATTTCAATCAACACGTAGCTTATTCGGGCATGTGCTCAAATATAGTAGCTGCATTCATTAGACAGACATTTCCACTAATCCCAAGACTATACTAATAAAAGCATAATCCCTGTGGGCTGAAGGTAGCCTCAGTCTTTCACAGCCAAGGCCTAATAATAATCGTGGCTGTGTGTATGCTCTTCACCAAGTGAACTTAGAAGCTGAGCTTATCTCGACATGTTTCCTTTGCGTTTGCAGTTTGCAGTAGTTTAGATGTGTGGCTCGCAGCAAAGCCATTTAAAAGCCGTGTGTGGGGTTGTATGTGCGTCCTTGTTACTTGGTCATGATGCGCTTTCTCCTCTTCCTGTTCCCATAGTCTGTGTGAGTTTTTCCTTTGCCCGTAGGATCAACAACAAGTCCATCCACTCTGTGACTCCTTGTGTAATGTCATAGTTTGACTTTCTATGGACGATTTCTCGCCCCCGCTTCAGGCTTGGCTTTTTGAACACGCAGTGTCCCCTCCCAGGTCGTTCAGAGCTAGCCGTAATTAGTTCGCTTAACACAACACCAGAAAATTTTCCCTTGCCAGTGACGTCAGACCTGCCTTCCTTTTTATTCTTCTGACTTATAAACTGCGGTGACCTGTGAGTCACCCTCACCATCTCCTGGCCCCGTGCCCACATTGTGATCTATGAAAAGGGAATCCTGCCAAGGGCTACAAGGCGGAAAACTGATATTATTAAATGGTCTTCTGAACGGTAACTCTCAGCCATTTTTTAATCTTTTGTGATGTTGTTGCCAGAAAAGGGGGTGGGGAAGGTAAATCACGGCCACGTGAAGGAGCTAACCCACGCATTGCTAACTTTTTCCAGACTGGGGGCTCAAATGAGTATCAGTGTCTCTAGACATGTTGGAGTGTTACACAATGCTGCTTACACCCCGACATGTGCTTTCTGAGGGCTCTTCTTGCCATAAGCTCAGAGACTCATAATCTCCCGGGCCTGCGTCCTTAGCCATAGCCTGTTAGTGACCGATATTGTACAGCAGTAATAATACCAGTCAAAAAAGATGCATGCACAGGGCTTTGGAAATGAAGATATGCAATAGAAAAACAGCGCAAATAAACTATTTTTTGATAATCACTGGCGCTACCTTGCTCTTCCCCACTTGGGATCTCTGTGGCACCTAGCGCCCCTGGGCCCTGGCACCAGAGTGTTCTTCAGATTTCCTTCTCTGGCAAGCTTCCCCTGTTTCTGGGGAAGGATCAGTGGGCATGGTGGGTTTTTATTAGGTAAGGGAAGAAGAGAACCAAGTTAGAGAAGGATAGGGAGAGGTGGTAGGGATGGATGACTAGAAGTCAGAAGAGAGACTGAGAAGGACTGGGGAGGAGGTCAGGAGGAGGGAGGCTGCAGGCCAGAGAAGAGAAGGGGGTTCGGATGGGCAAAGCCAGGCGTCGCCTGTGGGACAGTGCCATCAGCAGGACCCGTTAGGTGAAGTGGGTAATTAGCTGCCTGGAGTTAACTAGACTGAAACCCCAGGTTTATTACTTCCAAGCTGTGACCACATCTGAGTCCCTGAACCTCTCTGACCCTCAATTTCCTGAGCTATGAAACGCAGATCTCTACCCTTGCAGGCCAGACAGAGTCATCAGATGACTCCTGTGAAGTTCTCCGTGAGCAATGAGCTAGGTAATTCTCGGTGTGATCAAGAGAAAGGGGCATTGTCGATGATCTGTCAGTTCTCAGGGGCTGTGAAGTCCCCAGGTGGGTGCAGTCAGCAGCCCTGGCTCCAGTTTCTGTAATCCCTAGTTGGGGGGAGGGGTCATAACCCTGTATTTTGAGAAACAATGGTGCGGAATATCTCAGTTGTCTGTGTGCCTTCAACACCACTTATTGAAATCATCGGCCTCCACCATGAAGTCTGGTGCCAGGGCTGATAAAGCAGTCTTAGTAATTCTACAGCTGCTTGGCCAGACACACACACACACACACACACACACACACACACACACACACACACACACACACACTGCGCCCCCTCTTCCTCTCTCCTTCCCTTCCTCCTTCTCTCCTCTCTTACCCCCTCCCATACTTTCTGGACCCTTTCTTCCTAACAAGCCCCCCCCCCACTTCTATGTCTTTGTTTGTTTGTTTTAATGACCCACTGAATTTAATTAGGGTTACCTGCAAGTACATGGGTTCGAGGTTATTTACTGGAGCGTGGGCAACAGTGGCTGGCTGTGGCTGGCTATACCACTGGAGAAGATGACTCCCTGTCACCCAGCAGCCACTAACTATGGTAGCTCCCCAGAGGGTGGGGCCTCTGAGCCCCTCCCATACACCATGCTGGGAGGTTGACAGAGACAATTGTTTAGAAGATTGGACTGCAT